CTTTGTTATTCAGTATATTACAAGTTTAGAATTGTTTATCTTCCATGTTTAGAATTCAATCTTATATTTGTTGTCACAGCTTCTATTTCTAATCATGTTTTTGTATTATTTTATGTTGCCTTAAAATCCTATGTTTCTGAAAGAAATATTTATATAGGCCACACCAGCTGGTTAGTGTTTGTATGGTATATGTTCTCTATTCTTCTGTCAGATATTTATGCTGTGTTTTCATGTACCCACTAAAAACTAACTAGATTTTTTTTTCTATATATCTTTTAGCTGGAGACATTAATTGATTTACTTTAGTGGAAATTGCTAACATATTAGGGTTTATTTATACCATCTTATTGTGCTTTTGGTTCTACCATTTTATCTCTCTGCCCTTGGGTGATTTTTTCCCTCCATCTTCTGCATTGAGTTTTTGTTTTTCCATTTACTTTTTCTCTGCTAGTTTAAAAGGTAAAACTCAAATCTTGTCTTTTTAGTGCTTACCATGAACTTTAGTTTGCATCGTTAACAGAATCTAAAGTTTTATGTTTTCACTCATGCTGAACATCAGGCTTTTGAACAAAATTTGCTTGCCTTCCCTTAATTTATAAGTGTCTAGAATTTTAGTTTTATCTCAGTTTAATTTCAAAATGGTTATTGTATACAGTCAGTATTTGTTTAAATTTACCTATAAGTTTACTGTTTTATTATCCTTGAAAGTTATCTGGGCATACAAGTCTAGATTGACAGTTATTTCCTCTCATTTTTTAATAATACTGTTCCACTGTTGTCTTGCTTCCATTGTTGCTTCTGAAATGACACTTGTCAGTTGATCAGTATTCCTTTGTAGGTAATCAGTCTTCTCTTTCAGGTTATGTTTAAGTTACTTATCTCTGACATTCTGCAATCAAATGTCATTATACTACAACCTATCTACTGTGGATTTCTTTTTATTAATCTACTATGATTCACTGAGCTTCTTGAATCTGAGAATCAGTGCCTTTTGTGAATTATGAAAAATTTGAACTTTTACCTCTTTGAGTAATATACCTTTGCATTTTCTCAATTCTCTCCTTGAGGACATCAAATTAGACTTAAGTTTTACCATCTCACTCTGTTCTTTATATCTCATAATCTTTGTTTCATATTTTTCTATCTCATTGTTTCTGTGTTGAACACTAGATCATTTCTTTACATCCATTATCCAGTTCACTAATCGTGTCTTCTCACTGTCTCTAATATATTTAACCTATCTATCATTTTAAATTGTGATTATATTTTTTCATTTCCAGAATTGTTGTTTGGTTCTTTCTCAAATTTTCTTGGTCATTTGGGGTAGTTCCTCTATTCTCTCTTTTTCTTTTCTTTTAACATATTAAATGTTCTTATTTTACATTCTGTGTGTGATAGTTTCAATATTTTTATCTTTTTTTGGTGTGCATCTGAATCTATAGTTTGTTTTGTCTGAAGCAAGTCTATGACTTATTTTCTCATGTGATCAGTGAATTTTCATTGTGAATTGACATTCCTCTGACCTCCATTTTGGGGAATTTTTGATACGTTCCAACAGTGAAGTTTCCTATTTTTTTTTCCTAGCACCTCCATTTTGTTTCTTGTGGCCCTGCTAACCCTGGACCAGTTCAGAGTCAGAGTTCCCCTTGGGTTTCCTGCTTCTCCTTCCCTGTCCTTCAGCTTGTATGTGTGCTCACTGACATTCGCAAGCCTTGTGAATTTCCTCCTCAATATACACAACAGTATCAGGCTGTGGTAAGACATTCCTAGAGATTTTTTTCATCTTTTATATCTCTACTTGGAACACAGATGAGGAATTTAAGGGGTTTTTCTAGTTCACTCACTGAGAGGTGCCTTTTGGGGAGTCATCAGTGGTACTGCAGTCCAGCTCAGTCCCTGTTGTGAAATGAATTGTGTCCCAAAACTCATATCTTGAAGCCCCAGCCCCCAGTGCATCTGTATTTGGAGATGGAGCTTGTAAGGAGGTAATTAAGTTTGAATGGAGTCAGAATGGTGGGGCCCTGATCTGACAGAACCTGTGTTCTCACAAGAAAAAGAGACCCTCTCTCCATGTGTACACAGAAAAGGTCATATGGTCACAGCAGAAAATGTGGCTGTCTGCAAACTAGGAAAAGAGGTCTCAACGGGATGGAATTTTCTGGCGCCTTGATCTTGGACCTCTTGCCTCCAGAACCATGTGAAAATAATTTTCTTGTGTGTAAGCTGCCCATCTGTGGAGTTGTGTTATGGTGGCCCGAGCAGACCAACACAGTCCCAGGCCATGGTCCCTGCCCCCATGCAGGTATAGTCCTTAAACTCGGGTCCTTCTAGGTATCAGGGGTGGGACCTGGGACAGTTATCAGTTCTGTAGCCAAACTGTCTTATGGAATTTCAGCTTTTCCCAGTCTGCCTTCAGTAGTTTTCATTAATTTGCCATGAACTCAGCCATATACATATATAAAAAACACAGTTTAAATTTTCTCTAGCATTTCAGGTGTTCAGTAGCTAGTGAGATTTCTCTGTACAGAAATAGTGTCTTACATGCCTTTATTTAAAATGGATAATGAACAGGGACCTACTATACAGCACAGGAAATGTCTCCCAGTGTTAAGTGGCAGCCTGGATGGGAGGGGAGTTTGGGGAGGAATAGATATATGTGTATGTATAGCTGAGTCCCTTCGCTGTTCACCTGGACATATCACAATGTTGTCTGTTATTCAGCTATACCCCAATACAAAGTAAAGTTAGAAATGTCAAAAAAATAAAATGAAAGTTACCAGAAAAAAGAAATGGCATGTTAGATAGGTATACATTGATATTATTATGTTCAAATTCCCCTCCTAAAACACCATGTCCATATTCTAGTATAAAGGATGATATCTTTTATTTCAGTCATTGTGCCTAATATTTTCTATTTGGTAGTTTCTTTTATCATTATTATTTGGTTTCTTCTTGTCTGTGAGCTAATTTGATTGTTTCTGTTCTGTTGAATTCATTTTGCTATTTGTAAGCTAATAAAAGCAAATAAGACTAAAAAGAAAAGAAAAGAAAAGAACACTAAATTTATAATCTTTCCTTGCTTATATATCACATTGAATTATTAGGCCATTTAAAAGTGAGTATCTTTAGAAATTAAGAATTTTTGTGTCATAAACAAGAGAGAAAAATTTTAAATCTGAGAGTAAAATATACTTTGAAATTTGATATTAGCTAGATATTGTTTTTTATATAATGCTATGCAGTGTTAATAATATTTATGAATATACATCCTTCATAAATAAATTATTAATATGTATTACAATATCTAAGAAAATTTCACACCAATAATATTGCCCAACAACATTTAATTCGCTTTGGAAAAGACAAAGTTTACATTAATATTTTATCATTTGGTAACTCATATTAAAATGTACAAATTTAATAATATACAAAACAATGTACACAAAACTGTTTTTTTAAATTATTTTTTATTGAAGGACAATTGCTTTACAGAATTTTGCTGTTTTCTGTCAAACCTCAACATGAATTGGCCATAGGTATACTTATATCCCCTATTGAAGCTCCCTCACATCTCCCTCCCCATTCCATCCCTCTAGGTTGATACAGAGCCCCTGCTTGAGTTTCTGTATCTACAAAACACTAAGCCAGTTGTTCAAAAACCTTTATCATTGCCTCTTCAGAATCAAATGTCAGAATGATGGAAATGGATTGAGAGGGTTATTGGACAACATGTTGCAGAAAGAAAAACATCTTATTTTATGAACAACATCTTATTTTAAAGAAGAACATTTTTATTTTATGTAAATAAAAACAGGAAATAAATCAGGAGTACTTATTACTAGATCATAGAAATTTGGAAATGATGAAAATAAATTAATGATTGTGTGATCACAAAGAACAAATCATAAGGGCATCAGACTAACACATTCTTTAGAGTTTAAACAAAGACCAAATAAATTATTAGAAAGGAATATGTGAGTACTAAGGTACATATTTTATCAACCATAACAATTAGATAACATAATTTATATCACTTCATTTTACAAGCAAAAGTACATGCTAATCATTTTACTATACATAAGAGAGAAGTGTGAGCTATTGTGTCTTGTTTCCATGTCTGCAATAAACTATACCATTCGTTTAGATATCTTTTACTAATTAATTTAATTAAACTCCAAAATTGCTATAACATCCTGCTTTTATCCTAAGCCAGTATCTTGATTGAGGATAATATAAGAAGTGTAAAAAGTTGTCAAGAGAGCCTCTCTATTTCTAAATGGTGGTTCTCTATTCACTTTGTTCACTCTATGTATATGCTTTCCTTCCTCCCATAGCTGAAAACCACCATGCTTAACAGAGTGATATATAAAAGCAGATGCTTGTCCCAAGAAAGTTCAAAAGCATGAAGTTCAACTGCAAATCTTAATGGCAAATTCTCCATTTTTCCTTAAGCTCTCATTCCACATTACTTTCAAGTATCATTTAAATCCAATTTTTATTTGAATAATTTCTGATTGTCAGTGTGAAAAATTTTGTATGTTGAAAATAAAAAGAAAAATATTTAAGCACTACTCATATGTCTTTAAGCATTTTTGTGGAGAAAGAAATGCCTCTATCTGATACAGTTTCTAGTTGTCTTTTCGTAGCTGAGAAAAATTCTCTCTTCATCTCACTTTTTTAAAACCACTTTTGTGGTAAACAGATGAGTGAGAGTGAGGTAATCACTTTCAGATGCTGGTGGCAATTAGATAGATCACACATATGTAATTTACAAACTTGAATGTAGCAACCATTAAAGATGTCAAAACAATTAAAAGTATAGTCATAAAAGTTGATTATTTATATTGTCTCCTATAAGAATTCAGATGTACCATTGATCAAATAAGTTCTCAAAAACTATAGTAATTACACCACAAAGGGGCTGATGTGACACAATAAACTAGAGGAGACTACTGTTACTACAGTCTCATAAATCAGTCCAACCAAACTGCAGTTGATTCTTATTGTAGATGTGGTACAAGTTCTCTACTTCTCTGGTTTGATATTTGTAAATTAGGAGTGCTGAATTCAAAACTATTTCCATGGGAAATGTTACAGAGATTACATCTTGTTAAAGAATGTAGAACAACTTCCTGAAATTTCAATGCCTCTATGTTCTGCTCTTGAGAGAATTGGAGGCTAATCTGATTTATATCATTCATTAACAAATTGGAAGCCATAAGGTTGGTTATGGAGCAGCACTGAGTGAGATTTTCTTCCAAAAACTGTTTGTAGAGTTCATCCACTTTTTTCTCCATATAACCATTAAGCATAGAATTAGAGAGAGGCTGTTTATGAGACAACATACTTCTTTCTCGAATTTCATCGCCATTCAAAAGCTTTGAGGTAGGTAGTTTATCTAGAGGTTCAATGATGGGAGAATGACCTAACGGTATATCTCCTGAAAGCAAAAGAGGACCACTAAGAGCATCATCACGTATGTGTTCCACAAAGCAGCCGGAATCATACATGTTACCTACATGGTCTCCTCCAATCTGTAGATCAGGATAATTCTGGCAAATACTTGTACATGAATAAGATCGGTATAAATCTAGTTGTTTTTCATCATGTTGTTCTCTTTTTGGAATGGGCAGTGCAGCAGACATGTTCCCTAGAAAGGAGGCAGTCTTGCATTTTGCTACAGTTATCTCATCCACAGATTTTATTTTACTTGTATCATTACTTTTCTCTGTTATACTTTCTTTCATGACCTTATTTTCATTTTCCATTTTATCAGGGGAAAGTGAATTATTCTCTATATCTAAAAGTTGCTTTTTCCAAGTTTCCTTTTCATCATTTGAGGTTTTCTTACATGTAACTTGTTCTTTGTATAGGAGTTCAATTAGGAAGGATTCTCCAAGCATTTTATTAGACAAGGTTTCTAATCAGAAGAATGCAATATGTCCTGAAAATTAAAAAAAAAAAAAAACAACCTCATTAAGGCAACAAGATGTACAGAACAGACTTTTGGACTCTGTGGGAGAAAGCGAGGGTGGGATGTTCTGAGAGAATAGCATTGAAACAAGTATACTATCAATGGTGAAACAGATCACCAGCCCAGGTTGGATGCATGAGACAAGTGCTCAGGGCTGGTGCACTGGGAAGACCGAGAGGGATGGGATGGGGAGGGAGGTGGGAGGGGGGATTGGGATGGGGAACACATGTAAATCCATGGCTGATTCATGTCAATGTATGGCAAAAACCACTACAATATTGTAAAGTAATTAGCCTCCAACTAATAAAAATAAATGGAAAGAAAAAAAAAACATTTAATGGAGACTTAACTGCTACATGAAAACACAAATGATTAAGGAGACACTATTGCTCAAAGGATAGAGAATAGGACCAGGAGTAAGGAGACTTGGTTTCCAATTCTGTCATTACTTATTTACTATCAGGTAATTTATTTACCATTCCTGGGTATTGATTTTCCTGTTAAATGGTGATAATAATGCTCCCTAGAGTTTTTCATTGGATTATTATCAGGATGTTATATGGTATACATGCAAGTGTTTTAAAAGTACATATTTCTACAAATGTATACTTATTTTAATATATACTCAACTGTCATGAATAATTTATTTTAAATTTATTAGTTAAAGTGTCTAACCCTTTATTTTCAAATAGTCTGCTTAAAACCAAGACTGATTTTAAGGAATTTGTCTTAACAGTGCTTTAATTAATATTAATTGAGTCACATTGAAAACAATTACTATACCTTAGAATGTATTTGAGAGACAGATATTTATATACAGTTTGGATTTCTGCAAACTGTCTGATTTAAGCTATAAATATATCCATTTACTTTTTCAGTAATCTAAATACAAATAGGTTTGTCAAATTCACTACCATTCTTCTTTGTTTTTATTTTCTTTCCCTAATTTCCTTCCTCCCATTTGTTCTTTTCTTTTGGACTTAAGTCTTATTTTCCAGAGCACTTATACGAGTCTTTTGTATGATTCTTTAGTACAATTTTAAGACTTTCAACTTCCCCTAAAAATGCTACAAGAGTTCAAAAGGGAAAAGCAGATTTGATTCAAGAAACAATTTTCCTTTAATAGATCTGTAGTGTCTACTATAAATGTCTCCAGGAAACCTACTTATTCATATTTAAAGCCTTTTTATTGTAGAAAATAAAACAACACAAACTAAAATACATAAGAATTTAGGCTTACCTTTTCTGAATGTCAGGATACCTAAAAAAAGACTCAGTCTTCTGAGATTGCAACAGTCCAAATACAGGAATAGTCCCTTTTGGCTTGTTCTTTCTCAACTCTAGCTATATATACCTCAGAATTATAACTGTAACCACACAAAATGAAATGGTTCTCCTTTCCATTCATACCCTAGGACTGAACCAACTAATAGGAAAATAATGTGGGTTGATCACATATATGGTATGGTAATGATCACATACTAAAAGAGGATCTTGAAAGTATTGAATACAAGATGCAAATGACAGTGGGAAATGTTAACAGCAATAGCTCTCTTCTTTAAAGTGAAGATATAGACAAGGATATTTTAATGTTTTAAGTAGCAAAAAAGCAGTATGGTAACCAGCATATTTTGCAATAGTGTATAATTAAAACAATAAAAGACAATGATTCACTTATTATACCTCTATTATATGAAATACTAAACTGAGGACTTTTAATGATGGAATGATAATAAAAATAAGTAATTACTATATAACAGTCATTCTAAATGCCTTTCTAACTCACATGTGACTAAATGTCATTCTAAATCACACAAGGCTTAATTTATTTTTTTTTCTATTTCTTTTTTTTTTTTCCATTTCTTTTTATTCGTTGGAGGCTAATTACTTTACAATATTCTAGTGGTTTTTTGTCATACATTGACATGAATCAGCCATGGATTTACATGTATTCCCCATCCTGATCCCCCCTCCCACCTCCCTCTCCATCCGATTCCTCTGGGTCAAAACATGTATATTATCTAGGGTGAAACAGATCACCAGCCCAGGCTGGATGCATGAGACAAGTGCTCGGGTCTGGTGCACTGGGAAGGCTTAATTTAAAACAGAAACTATTGTCTCTTTTTTAGAAAGGAAACAAAGATAAAGCTAGTAAATGGCGGAACTAGGATTTGCACCACTCAATTGGATTCAGAATCCATACTCTTAAATCACTAAACTGTATTGCCTTTATGTTTATTGATGGGATGCAAGTTGCAGAACTATATATACAGTGCACACACATAGTATATGCCAAACATATTTTTATAGGTTTGCCAAACATATATATATATATATATATATATATATATATATGCCAAAACATATATATATATGCCAAACAACTTTTCTAAATTAGTCACAATACTAATTTAATTCTCAAAACGTCTCTGTTAAGCAGACATGTTAACTGTCACTGTACTTAAGAAGAGACTGAAGGACAGAAAAGTTAGATAAGATGTCCAATATCACACAGTTTTAAGTGGTAAAATCTGAGTTAGAACCCAGGCAGCCTGACTTCAAAGCCCATTGCTCAATTTTCCTGCTATAGATTTTTCTACCCTTTAATTGGCAATATATATCATCACAATTGTGGAAAAGAATACAAATCAAACTGTTAATAATCATTTCCTGTGGGAGAGGGTTGGCAAGGAGAAGGTGAAGTGGTAATTTTACCTTTTACTCCCCATACTTCTATATGATTTTAATCACTATATTGATACAATGCCTATGTATTCATGTATTATTTGCTTGATTAAAAATAATCCAAATACATAAAAGTACAAAAAAAATCTATGCTACTTTCTTTGAGTCTATTTTGTCAATCTCACAAGTGTATAGCCCATTCTTTAGAAAGATTTTAAAACCAATACAAACTGCCAAAATATACTGTAAAACATGAATAATATTTCTACATAGTTGATATTTTCAGCTACAATTGTCAATACAACTTTTGTTTTACAAATAATTATTTCAAAATAAGCATCACAAATAGCCTACAGAATAGGTTAATTCTAATTCTATGAATCATACTAATCTCTTTTTTAGGTTGTCAAAAACATCTTCTTTTAAGAAATATTGCATGAACTTAACTTGGAAGGGCAGGAATAGCAAATGAGAGAATGTTCCACAATTGCACACCAGAAAAACAATGAAAACAATTATTGAAAAAATAGATTTTCTACCACTGCTGTCACAAACGAATATTAAAATAAAATGGAGAAATTGTTTCTAATCTAAACTTTACTGGTTATACTCCATTTCCTTTGCCTTCAGTTCATTTCAAAGCCTCAGTCATGTCCGACTTTTTGTGATCCCATGGACATGGGTTTGGGTGGACTCCGGGAGTTGGTGATGGACAGGGGGTCCTGCCGGGCTGCCGTTCACAGGTCGAAAAGAGTCAGACACGACTGAGCGACTGAACTGAACTGAACTGGACTGCAGCATGCCAGGCCTCCCTGTCCAATACCAACTTCCGGAGCTTACTCAAACTCATGTCCACTGAGTAGGTGATGCCGTTCAACCATCTCATCCTCTGTTGTCCCCTTCTCCTCCTGCCTTAAATTTTTCCCAATATCAGGGTCCTTTCCAATGAGTCAGTTCTTCACATCAGTTGGCCAAAGTACTGGAGTTTCAGCTTCAGCGTCAGTCCTTCCAATGAAAAATCAAGATTGATTTCCTTTACGATTGATTGGATGGATCTCCTTGCAGTCCAAGGGACTCTCAAGGGTCTTCTCCAACATCACAGTTCAACTTTATTTATAGTCTAACTCTCACATCCATACATGAACACTGGAAAAACCACAGCTTTCACTAGATGGACATTTGTTGACAAAGTAATGTCTCTGCTTTTTAATATGCTGTCTAGGTTGGTCATAGTTTTTCTTCCAAGGAGAAAGTGTCTTTTAATTTCATGGCTGCAGTCACCATCTGCAGTGATTTTGGAGCCCCCCAAAATAAAGTCTCTCATTTTTCCATTGTTTCCCCCTCAATTTGCCATGAAGTGATGGGACCAGATGCTATGATCTTAGTATTCTGAATATTGAGTTTTAAGCCAACTTTTTCATGGTCCTCTTTCACTTTCATCAAGAGGCTATTTAGTTCTTCACTTTCTGACACGAGGGTGGTGTCATCTGCATATCTGAGGTTATTGATATTTCTCCTGGAAATTTTGATTCCAGCTTCTGCTTCATCCAGCCCAACGTTTCTCATGATGTACTCTGCATATAAGTTAAATAAGCAGGGTGACAATATACAGCCTTGATGTACTCCTTTCCCAATTTGGGACCAGTCTGTTGTTCCATGTCCAGTTCTAACTGTTGCTTCCAGACCTGCATACAGATTTCTCAGGAGGCAAGTAAAGTGGTCTGGTATTCCCATCTCTTTCAGAATTTTCCACAGTTTGTGATGATCCACACAGTCAAAGGCTTTGGCATAGTCAATAAAGCAGAAATAGATGTATTTCTGGAACTCTCTTGCTTTTTCAATGATACAACGGATATTGGCAATTTAATCTTTGGTTCCTCTGCCTTTTCTAAATCCATCTTGAACATCTGGAAGTTTAGGCTTCACATACTGTTGAAGCCTGGCTTGGGGAATTTTGAGCATTTCTTTGCTATCATGTGAGATGAGTGCAATTCTGCAGTAATTTGAGCATTCTTTGGGATTGCCTTTCTTTGGGATTGGAATAAAAACTGACCTTTTCCAGTCCTGTGGCCACTGCTGGGTTTTCCAAATTTTCTGGAATATTGAGTGCAGCACTTTCACAGCATCATCTTTTAGGATTTGAAATAGCTCAATTAGAATTCCATCACCTCCACTAGCTTTGTTTGTAGTGATCCTTCCTAAGGCCCACTTGACTTCACATTCTAGGATGTCTGGCTCTAGGTG